AGGAAGGGAGGGAGGGAGGGAGCGAGGGAGGGAGGGAAGGAGCGAGGGAGGGAGGGAGGGATGGATGGATCATTGAATGGGTGGATGAATGGGTGGAAGCGTGGATCATTGAATGAATGGGAACATGAAATGTCTTGAAAGGCAACCTAACATGGGAAAAGGAAAACTTCACCAGAATCAGGAAGAGAAGCCAAAGTTCTAGTCTTCCTTTCAGCTCTTTATTATCTGTGTGCTTGTCAATGTGTACTTTTTGAGACACATCTCCGTGCCTTGCTTACCTCATCTGCCTTCAGGGGGTTGTTTTCATGTCTGCTAGAAGGCATGGCACTGGACCGTATGGGACCTCAAGTTCCCTTCTAAGTCTATAGTCATATGACCCAAATATGCTCTAGATAAATAACTAAAGAGAAACCCTCCCTCCCTCCCTCCTTCTTTCCTTCTCTTCTTCCCTCCTTTCCTCCTTTCCTCTTTGCCTCCTTCCCTCCCACCCTCCCTCCCTTCCTTTCTTGCTTTTTTCCTTTCCTAATTTTTGGCAAGGATAGCAAACTGAAATGCCTTTAAGGGCCCAGAGGTAAAGAAATGGAAAGCTGTAGGATACAGTAAAATGGGGGTGGGTGAGGCCAGTGAATAATTAGAAAGTGTTTGTCCTTCCAAAAGGCACTCAAATTCAATTTAAAACAAACAAGCAAGCAAAGAAACAAACAAACAAACAAAAAAACATTCTGGCCAAACAAAACATCTGCTAGGAATGGGTCCCCAGTTTATCATCCCAATTTATAGCTTTTGTGAAAGGAAAAGTAAGTGTATGTTTCCTCTCATCCCATGAGCTGTCACACCACCCCAGTGCGGTGATTCTCACACCCACCTCTGCATTCATATCTGAGGTCCGAGAAATACACCATCTCTTGAGAGAAGACAAACAGACCCAGCCGCCCTCCAGCGTACGTTTGGTCATAGATCGGCCCTGAGTCGGCCATGACCTGCTTTCCTTCATGCACTAACACTCTGAAAAGGGAAAGAAGGAGAAACAAGCAGATCCGTGAACTCCATGAAGCAGATTCACCACAGGCTGGGGGTTGTAAGAGCTGTTAACACGATAGAGTCTGAGGGTCTCAGCTCACAGATTCAGCATAACCTGGGGAGAGGGTGGGCTGCTTACTTTCTCCCTACAACCACAGGCCAACAGTTACCCAGCACCAACTCAGCGCTCTCCTCCTTCCTCCTAACTCAGTGTCAGCACCACCATTCGCCAGTGCATAGCAATTACCCACAACAGGTGGACCAGTCTTTGCTTTTGAGAACCCAGAGTTTGGTAGAAGGAAGAACATCCTTGTTCTCCTCCAGGTGGAGCCATGTGTGTCTTCCTAACATGCTGGGGGCCATTTTATCCACATGTTGTCATGCTTCTCAGGCCTTCACCTTATACTATGAGTGCTTGAAAGTTGGGACAGGGGCTCTGCCCAACATGGTGAGGGCGAGCCAGGAACCATGTGCCGCAGCAAATTTTGCAGGTGCTCACCTGCTCCATACATTAAGGCTTCCATGATGAAGCAATGACAGAGTAAGTGAAGGCTCTCCAAGGAGACATCACAGCCCTACACCCCATGGCTCCTCACCTGTGCAGGTGTGTTTATACCTACAAAGGACATGCACACTTCCAGCATATATGGAGAATCCAACCAGATCTTGGTTCTTATTAACTAAGTCTAACTTAAAAAAAAAAAAAAAATTTAAACTGTCCACATGTTCTTTCAATAAAAATTGATTGCAAATTCCATCAAGCCAAGATAAAAAAAATTCTGTGGAACTGATATTTGTGGAAGTTTTATCTAAATATGCTTTTTAAATTCAGCCATTTTACAACATCAGGAATAATCATGAATGTGTTGTCCAGATAATGCACATGCTAATATTGCAAAGATGCAGCTACTTTAATTGCACTTTCTTTCCCGGGTCCAGGGTAGCATTTAGAAGAAAGATGCTCATCGCTCTCCAAACGATTTGAACAAAACAAGTCTTAGATTCTCCTCCTTAGCAGTGTTTTTAGAAATAAATAACATAGCAGAGATATTGGGACAGAAAAGGGAAGGTACTTAAAAATGAAGAATGTGGAGAATACACACATTAGACATCATGTTGGCTAAGGTTGGAGGTTAGAATCCACCCAGAGGCACCTCCAAAGACAGTCCTGGTGATCTACTTCCAAAAAATCAGACACTGAAAACCCTGTGGAGCACAGTTGTACTCTGATACACATGGGTCACCATAAGTCAGAGTCAACTCAACAGTAACTGTTTTTTTATTTGTCTATTAATATTTTTTAAATTTGTCTATTAATATTTAAACTTGCTGTCAAATGGGAAGAAGTTCCTGAAATGGTCATCATTTGACGGAAACCTGGAAGGAACCGAGACGCCCTTACCTTATGTAACCCGTCTTGGGTCTGTGAATAAGATGCCACCTGTAGGCTGTGTAATCTTTCCAGCCAATATTTTTGGGGTCATGCCATAATGTCCGCACCTGTGGAGGAGGAAAATATCACCACTGAGCACCTCCGGCACCCTGGGTTTCAACCAAACCTCATAACACGAACGGGAAAACACACAGTCCTATGCAAATGAGTCCTCAGGGTGCATGTGGCTGCGTCTGTCTCCTGCATTTCATAGTACAGATCTCCTGCTGGGTGGATTCCAAATCCATTTAAAAGAAGCAGCGCCGCCCAGTGCGAGGAGCCTAGGTCTGAGTCAGAGTCACGGCCTCACATCAGCTTCTGCTGCTTTCCCAGTGAGGACCTTGGGCAAAATTCTTAAACTTTTTGAAACCCAGTTCTGCCTGTCTCTAGGAAAAAAACAAAAAAGAAAACCAAACTTGTCGATTCGAACGCATAGCAACCCTAGAGGACAGAGCAGAACTGCTCCGCTCCATAGGGTTTCCAAGGAGCGGCTGGTAGATTGGAACTGCTGACCTTTTTTTTAGCAACTGAGCTCTTAACCACTGTGCCACCAGGGCTCTGGCTATCTCTAGAAGAGGGTAGAAATATGCCTAATTTGCAAGAGGACTACCAACTGTGTTCATAAAAGCAGCAGGTATGGTCCTTCCTAAAGCAGGCACTCGATAAAAGATGACCACAGATATCGTGTTTGAATCCATTGAGTCCAACGATCATGAAGATGGTGCAGGACCAGGCAGCGGTACCTTCTGTGACACATAAGGCTGTCATGAGTCGGAGCCAACTCAACAGCAACTAACAACAAAATGATTGTCATGATTTAGGTAAAGATAGATAAAAACAGACGTTGAGATGTCTTTGGAATGATTGAGGTGGTGTAAGGAGGAGCCCCGTCCCCCCGCCTCGTGTCGCTCACCTGGCCTTCTGTGTTCCCCGTGTGCCACAGTGCATTCCGCAGCTGCTCGCCCGTGCCCGTCGTAGAGTTGACCACTTTGAGGGACACCCCTGAGTAGCCGTACGCCCTCGTGGGCTTGTCCTCCCAGTAAGTCTGAGTGACCTGCTTCCACATCACCACATAGAACCTGCTGCTGGACTGATAGCCGAAGACAAAGCCGGCGTAATCATCATCCCGGTCGGTATTGACATAGAACGTGCCACTGAAGTCAACAGATCCAAATTCATCGAAACCTGGACCCAAAGGAAGGCGTTCAGTCACAGGATGTAGTTAGACAGATCATCTCAGGAAATTCCCGGATTATCCCTGGGGTCACATGAACGCAGGTATGAAGAGGTTGGGACGGGCTCCTCTCCTCCATCCAGCCCAAGTTCTGCTGCTGTGAGTTTCATTAGTTTTTCCTGATTGATTTTTTTTTTTGGGGGGGGTCCATTTATAGACTTAGGGCGGAATTTTTCTGTATTACATAATAGATCATTTAAAGGCCAAGTCCAAAAATTAACTCACATGGGGGTCACCATGGGTCAGAGTTGTCTTTAGAGAGGTAAATGTGTATGTCCCCAAGTTCTTCTACTGTATTTACATGGACAGTTCTACACACCATGGGTGGATGGAGCCTACCAGAGAGAAGGCACTAAACCCAATCCCATTTTTTTAAAGAGCAGCTCGTGTTGCTGCGGTCACTGGCCACGATGGGATCACAACAGTCCCACACACGGTATCTTGGAGGCTTACCTACGGCAATGCCAGGGTCAGAGTTCGCCGTCTGAACCAGCTCCTTGCCTTGGTGACGGATCACCCAGTTGGGGTCGATCTGAGTAGTGCCCTTGGGGTCCAGGTGGACCATCTGGAAGTTCCTGAAGTCGGTCTCGCTGATGGCATTGTTTTCAGGACACACGTCATCAATGTCTGGGACACTGTCATTGTCGAAGTCGTCTTTACAAGCATCACCCCGTCCATCACCTATTCACAAAGGATGAAACAGAAACAAGAAATCACAGGGAGTGGTTGTCACTGGCCTTGCTACTTCTGAGAAAAGTTGGTGCACCGTCTCAGAAAATTTAAGGTTAAATACTTCATGGTATTTTGTGGATTAATGCTTGGTGATCTCTAAGACTTTCAGGGGAATGCTAGGAGGAGTCTTGGTGCTCTTTTTGAAACAGTGTTATGGTACACAGTACAACAAAGGAGAAGCAAAGCCAAATCCCACCTGGGACCTTCCTCACTTTGTTCTAACTCAGTTCTGGGGTGAGGGGTCTGAATGGCTGTCAGGTAACAGCAAGCTCAGTCTCCAGCATTTACTCTGGTATTTTCCAGCACATCTATCATCACCTTTCTCTCTCATCTCTGCCTGCAGTCTAGTTAGAATTTAAGGCAGAACTTGTACTAGAAATGATTTTTCCTGAGGAGATATGGATGCCGCTTTTCTGGAAACTTCTTTTCAAATTTTTCAGGAAGGTGGTGGTAGGGCGCTGGGCGTGCAGAGGTAAGTGGTCCATATACCATGGTGGTATATATGGGAAGATGAACCGTGTGGCCTCAGCAGCTACCCAGTTCCCTGGTAATAATGATCATCATCCCATTTTAGTGCTTGTTGTTTGAGAAGGAGAAAAAGATACGAAGTTTGATTGAATCTCCCATCACATTCTTCAAACTAAGTGTCAGTTTTTTTCAGTAGCACGGCAGCACACCGACTCTGTGGAAGGCACATAATCTTGCACATGGAAATCTTAAACATACTGAAATACTCCCATGTGTGGGAGCTCCTCTTCCATCCCACCGCTTTCCTGGGTAAAAGGCCCGGCATCTGCTCCACCTGCTGGCAAACCCGCTGCCCTCTGTAATCTGAGCAGCTGTGCGAGCCTGAACCCATCTGTTCTCCTACCAACGAACAGCCTCGTGCTTCCTGTTAAATCCCAGGGAGGGTCCTCCAGGCTGCACTGTGGATGTCGAAGTTTTCCCATACCTTCTTAGCCCCTTATCACAGTTTACTAAGGATTTGTGTCCCAGAGTCCACTGGAGCTGGCCAGGATGGTTCACTAAGACACTCTGTGTCTCCAGCTGGAAGCCAGATGGCCTCAGATGGTCACCAAGCCCAGCTGTGCCCCTCAGTTGTTACATGGAGATGGGGCATAAAAGGCTGCAGCAGCCTGATGGTCTCAGCCTCCTCAAGACCCTATACTGCTGGAGACCACTGATTTATATTAGCCCAGGTTACATAATTGTTTTCCCTGTATGGTCCACACTCCTGCTAGTTTTGTTTACTTTGCCCTTAAAAGAATAAGTCCCCAGTGACCTCACTGCCATAACTCACCGAATCGCTGCTTCATGTTATGTTTAAACTGACAGTTCTTTCTTAGAGATTGTCCAAAGTTTGAAGATTAGTAAAAAGATCCTGACACTTTCCCTCACCCCAAAGTACACAAGCAGACCCCTGAGGCACAGCATCTGTGGAATAAAACACAGAAAGAGCCGAAAGTGCCCCGCGCAGGCCAAGCGGCAGAAGGGCACGCTGCACGCGTCCAGGGCCTGGGCCTTCCAGAGCGGCTGCGCCTCCCCAACGGGTGTCTGACGGTGACTCCATCCCACACGCATCCCTGTCTTTGCAGGGCTGTTCACGGGGAGGCTTCCACCGCACGCGAGGACTCACACACAGCACCTACCGTCTGAGTCCTCCTGGTCTGGGTTGAAGACGAGCCTGCAGTTGTCCCTGTCATCGGGGATGCCGTCGTTGTCATCGTCCGAGTCACACGCGTCACCCTGGCCATCACTGTCGTGGTCGGCCTGGTTGGCGTTGGAGATGTAGGGGCAGTTGTCTTGGTTGTTCTGGTGGCCGTCCTCATCGATGTCCTCGTTGTTGTCACACTGGTCCCCAACAAGGTCATTGTCCATGTCGGTCTAAGGAGGCAGAGCGAGAGGCAGGCAGCGGTGGGCGTTAATGCGCTGAAGCAGGAAGACTCACAGGGGTGGGGTTGAACAGCCAGCACCGGGCACTGTTGTGCGGTGTAAGAGGCTGCGACGGTGGAGAGGGGACGGCGCCCCTGAGAGCACACGGCTATCAGATAGCAGAGCAGGGACTTGAATCCAGGCATCTCAGCCCAGCCACCCTCCACGCGATCCACCCCTCTGCAGCAAGTCACTTTCTTATGTCGACCGTGTGTCTTCACGGGAAGGAACTACACGCTACAGGACAAAAGGCCGTGTTTACAGCATCCGCCACCATACAGCCCATGGCCTGTATTGGCGTGTTAGAGCCCCACTGGGCCCGTCCAGACGCAAACCTGGAAATGTCGCCAATTCCTAGATTCACGTCAGGGAATTCAGAGAGAGTTAGACAGAGACAGCGTGACTTTAGGTAGAGTGAGGCTACAGCATCTACTCTTCTGGGCCCGGCCACTGAGATGCAAGAGCCGTGCTCAGCTTTGAGTTCAGCGAACGATTCCAGTTAAAATTATTGACATCTCTACAGCGTTGGGTCTTGGCGGAGTTAAGGGAAGATGATAAAGGCATATCTATACCTATAAAACCTAAAACCAAGCCTGTAGCCATTGAGTCAATTCTGACTCATGGCGACCCCATGTCTTAAAGACTAGAACTGTACTTCATAGGGTTTTCTTGGCTGCAATCTTCTGTAACCTTTGGAAGCAGATTGCCAGGCCTTTCTTCTGTGGTGCTGCTGAGCGGGTTCCAACTGTCAACCGTAAGGTTAGCGGTCGAGTGTAAACTGCCTGCGCCATCTATATGTACATCTATGTCCATCTATACATCTCTATACAGACACATACACAACAGATAAGGACCACAGACCCCCCTCCCACTTCCACTTATAGGCACAAGCAGTTACCTGGTCAGGATTGTGCATGAGGGGACAGTTGTCACAGTGATCTCCCACCCCGTCACCATCGGTATCCCTCTGGTCAGTGTTGTAGACGTAGGGACAATTGTCTCTCTCATTGAAGACATCTGTAGGCATTCAAAGAAAGAAATGGAAGCCCGGCGCATTGAGGAAAAGTGTGCTGCTTCTCCTATTGCATTAAATAATGCACAGCCAAACTTATCTTTAATTTTAAAAAAATGGTCTAAGAATATGGTAGAACTTAAAGGTGATTAGATTCATGAGAGAACATATGTTATATTTCCCTGTAAAGTCCAAATTTCCTTAGTTTAAAACAGAAGCAACTCTTGGAGATTTCTGTGTAACGCCACGCAGGAGGAGTCGTTAACCGTGTGGTCACAGGTAAATCTCTGTCCTTAACTATGTTGGCTATTGCCCCCCAGACAGCCATTCGGAAAACATGTAGCCGGTTCCTCAGAACTGTCTAGCTCCCAGGTTATCCTGCCTCATCACCTACATTAGCACAGCTTTTCAGGAAAATAACGACGTGGAGATTTACTAGATTTTAGATGTAATACCTATTTGAAGAAATCCGATAATATGTAACAGATTCCATTAGTGTCGCAGCTATGAAGAAATAGCATCCGCAGCCATACCACAGTGACAGACATGTGGGGAGGAAAACGGGACAAACCGAGAGTCCGAGGGAGGGGGCTGGGCAGAGCTGAGAGCCCAGCCTCATTCTCAGCAAGGAGGAGGTGGTCCAGCACTAGGGGCCATGGTCAAGAGAGAAAGGATCCCCAGAAAGTAGAGTCAGCATCACACAGACAACCTAATCGTAGGGTGGAGGAGACCCCCTGACGCCTGAGAGCCGTGAGCGAGCCTGCGATTCACACGCTGCCTCAGGCACGTGGAAGCAGAGATCAGTGTGGAGTTTCCCAAAAAGGTGATGTTAAAGTATACACTGTGATAACACTTAGCGGGTACAGAGTTTTTGTGTGGGGTGAGAAAGAACTTTTGGAAATAGATACTGGTGATGGCTGCACAGCATGGTGAATATCAGTCAAACAATTATACTGACACCAAGTCGACTCCGACTCTTAGCGACCCTACAGGACAGCACAGAACTGCCCCATGGGGTTTCCAAGGCTGTGAATCTTTATGGAAGCAGACTGCCACATCTTTCTCCCGTGGAGCAGCTGGTGGGTTTGAACTGCCCGGATATCATTAATGTCACTGAATTGTACACTTAGAAACAGCTAAAATGACAATGACACATTCTGTGGTGTGTGTAAAATAATCTGGAAAAACACACAATGAGACAAAAGAGTAGGTTAGAGTGAGTCAGAGGGGCTGCAGCTGGTGACAGCAGGGGGATGGGACTCGGCAGAGAGATTGGACACCTCTCACGCCAGGACGGGAGTCACAGAGCTGAGGGCCCAGCAGCTCCCAGACAGGCTGGCGAACTGCCTGCTGCTTTCGTGGAGATGTGGCTCATCCACACCCGGTGGAAAGGGGTGAACAAAGGAGCCGACACCCTTCTGTGGGAGGTCACACAGACTTCAGAGTAAGGACACAGCATTCTGTTCACCTGTCAGCAGGTGTGACTTCAGAGGTGACCATACCGGAAACGCCTTTAGGAGGCACTTTTCATGGAGTGACTAGGAATAAGAGCATGGATGAAAATGCCCCACGAGAGGTCACACAGAGAGAGGCAAATGGCTGCTACCAGACTTTGTCAGAGGTGCAGTTTGGTGAGGAGAGGGCTGGGTGTGTCAGAGGAGAGGTTGTGAAGGAGGTCAAGGGTGCAGGACTCGGAGGCTGGGTGGGAGAGACGAAGCTGCCCGATGGAATGCTGCTGTTGTTGGTTGCCATGAGTGGGCCCTGGACTCACAGTAACCCCGTATACAATGGAGAGAAATGCTGCCCAGTCCTGCACCATCCCCATGATAGGTTACAGATTGGACAGTTGTGATCCATAGGGTTTTCACTGGCTGATTTTCTAAAGTAGATCACCAGGTCTTTCTTCCTAGTCCCTCTTAGTCTGGAAGCCCCACTGAAACCTCTTCAGCATCATAGCAACACACAAGCCTCCCTGACAGACAGGTGGAGGCTGGCGTGAGGCGTATCGGCCAGAATCAAACCTGGATCTCCAGCAGGAAGGTGAGAACTCTACCACTGAACAACCAGTGCCCCACCCTGAAGACACAGTTCTCGGAAAGATGGTCCTGAAGCTGATGATCCCTCTCATGGGCCACGAGACAAAGGCTAGAGGGGCAGAATGAGGATAGGCTTCTATAAGAACGGCTTAGTGAACCGTTTAATCTTATACAGGAGTTTCTGGGTATCACAAACGGTTAATGAAGCTGGCTGCTAACTAGGAGGTTGGAGGTTCAAGTCCACCCAAAGGTGCCTCAGAAGAAACATCTGATGATCTACTTCTGAAAAATCAGCCATTGATAACCTCATGGAGCACAATGCTACTCTCACACACACTGGGGCACCATGAGCCAGAGCTGACTCCAGGACAACGGGTATATCCGTATGGTTGGAGTTGAGCTCAACCAACAAATACAAGCTAAAACATGAAGTCTGCAAGCATTTCTGATGGTGGACCTTAGAATGCTTGTGTGGCAGTGACTGTAGGACTGACCGTCCCCGTCGATATCCACGGAGCAGGCGTCTCCCTCGCCATTGTTGTCTGTGTCGATCTGCGCCGGGTTGTGCACATACGGGCAGTTGTCACAGCGGTCCCCAACCTCATCTTTGTCATAGTCGAGCTGGCGGGGGTTGAATAGAAGCTGGCAATTGTCCTGAGGGAGAAAACAAGGACAGAATTTAAGAAATAGCACATGAATGTTTACTGGATTGCTTATAATATTGCTCAGGGCTTATAAGTTATTTGCTCAAAGTAGATAAAAATAACCAACATAGGAATAAAGAAAACATATGAAGTCAATTAACTCTAGTGAAATGCTTACTTGATACCACATCATTTTATTCTCATGCATGCATCTGTCCCGTTAAAAACTTAGAGATTTTCTAATCCAAAGTCGATACACCATATACATCACAGTGAGAACAGATTCATAAACATCAAATGAATGAATGAATGAGTCAATGAATCAATGAAAGTCAGACGTAGGGTATCTGTGTGTAAAAATACAGGCCATCTATCCCTGCTGGTGCTGTAGTACTACTAATCTGTTAAATCATATATGTTCTGCAATAATTTTCTCAGAAAAATGGTAATACTTAAACATTGCCACAGAGTCAAGTATATCACTTGTGGTGGTAACAGCCTTGCCCAGCGCTGGTACCTCCCTACAAAGAAGGGGGGTGGATGTGTTCCTTTTTATGCAATTAAAGTGAACCACGTGATTGGAAACATTTCTGGCAGGGCACCCTAGACAGCTCCATGCATTCGTGAACCTGCCTTGTAAATGACTAGCGTTCCTATTAGTGACTGAAGAATCAGCGATATTGACCACCAATCTCCTTCTGACCACTCTGCTCCTGAAGCTGAGAGCAGGGTCAGCGGCTGCACCAACCTACCTTTTCATCGCTCACACCATCGTTGTCATCATCCTCATCACAAGCGTCCCCAATTCCATCCTTGTCAAAATCTTCTTGCCCAGAATTAGGCAGATGGGGGCAGTTATCCTGCAATTAAAGAAACATAATTCTAACCTAATTAAAATGTAATAATTCTAACACAAGCCATGGTATATTTAATAGCTTCATATGCATATGAAAGCTGGACAACGAAAAAGGAAGACAGAAGAAGAATTGGTGCCTTGGAATTGTGGTGTTGCAAAGAATACTGAATGTACCACGGACTGCCAGAAGAACGAACAAATTGGTCTTAGAAGAAATACAACCAGAATGCTCCTTAGAAGCGAGGATGAGGAGACTTGGACTCCTTACTTTGGACACGCCATCAGGAACGACCAATCATCATAAAAGGACATCATGTTTTGTAAAAAGTCATCGGAAACAAGGAAAACCCTCAGTGAGATGGATTGACACAACAATGGACTCAGACACACCAACGATCACGAAGACGACGCAGGACCAGACAACATTTCACTCTGTTGTACGTGGGGTCACCTTAAGTCAGAGTCGACTTGACAGCAACTGACAATAGCAACAGTAATTCTAAAAGCATTCTGAAAAGAGCCCTTCATGCAGTAAGGCAGGTGAAATAGACAATCAGCACACTTCTTTCAGTAAGATGGGTAAAATGAGACATCAGTACAGCACTGAAGAGGTAAGCCTCAGAGGGATGCACGTGAGTTAGCCTGGGGCTTATTTGGGGACTAAGTCTATGTTGCTGTAATGACCCCCTAGATGTCCTCTTTGTAGAATTTCAGGCAGGAACTTAACTTCAAGTGGCTCATCATAACTCATATGTGTGAGTACATGTGTATATAAAACCAAACCAGCGCGTAGCGCACGGCTGGAGTATATGCCGTTCTTTCCAAGGGTTGCCCTGGGAATCAGGTCTCTACCGCCTGGAAGGTGAGACAAAAGGAACTTGTCTCTGGGCCCTGGCTGCCTGTGAAGTTGCTACACAACCCCAGAAACAAGAGAGTAAGGAGCAGCTCTCAGTGTGAAAACGGGCCAGGCTATTAGTGCCCCTTTGCTTCGCACAGCCTTCAAGGCAAACCAACAAGCCAGAGCCACAAACTGTGACCTTCATCAACCTAGAGGTTCAAAGAAAGGAGCCTTCTGAAGGAGTCTGTGATTTGGTCAGAAAGGGATACAGAGAACCTGCCACTGCGTCCTCTAATTCAGCCCTTGGCAGTAAGTGGGTAACACATGCAAGAGAAAAAAGAATTGATTTTGTTTTCAGTCCACCTACACTAGAAGCCAGAACGAGCTGTGCAGACACTAATAACTCAGGGAATCGAAACATCAGTAAAGGGTAGAGAGTGAAGCATTCACTTCTGTGACGGTAACATGTGTCTTGGGGAAGCCCAAACACAGTCAGGTGGGCCACTGGTCATTCTCAGCACGTGAGGCCTGTCCAGAGCCACTGTCTCAACATTACTGAGAAAAGGAAGTGTGTATACCACTCGTGGTGGGGAACACAGACCCAGGGGGGTGAGCTGGCTATGGAAGGAAGGGCTCAGCAACACTGCAGCAGGGTTAGTACACGGACCTGCCAGAGAAGTTATCTAACTTTTAAATCTATTTATCCTCATAAATTATATATATCTGTGTACATATGTATATATGTACTCATTGCGATCAAGACCAATCCTACTCATAGCGACCCTATAGAACAGAGTGGAACTCCCCCACAGAGTCTCCAAGGAGTGGCTGGTGGATTCAAACTGTCAACCTTTTGGTTAGCAGCTGAGCTTTTAACCACTTTCAGCAAGCAAGGTTGGATCATCTGCATATTACAGGTTGTTAATGAGTCTTCCACCAATCCTGATACTGAGTTCTTCATATAGTCCAGCTTCTCGGATTATTTGCTCAGTATACAGATTGAATAAGTATGGTGAAAGGATACAACCCTGACGCACACCTTTCTTGGCAGTAAACCACACAGCATCCCCTTGTTCTGTTCCAACAACTGCCTTTTGATCTGTGTACAGATTCCTTAAGAGCACAATTAAGCATTCTGGAATTCCCATTCTTCACGATGTTATCCATAATTTTTTATGATCCACACAGTTGAATGCTTTTGCATAGTCAATAAAACACAGGTAAACATCTTTCTGGTATTTTTGGCTTTCAGTCAAGATCTTTCTGACATCAGCAGTGATATCCCTGGTTCCATGTCCTCTTCAGAATCTGGCTTGAATTCCTGGAAGTTCCCTGTCAATTCATTGCTGCAACTGGTTTTGAATGATCTTCAGCAAAATTTCACTTGTGTGTAATATTCATGATATTGTTTGATAATTTCTGCATTCTGTTGGATCACCTTTCTTTGGAATAGGTACAAATATGGATCTCTTCCAGTCAGTTGGCCAGGTAGCTGTTGTCTTAGTAATCTAGTTTTGCTATAACAGAAATACCACAAGTGGATCACTTCAACAAACAGAAGTTTATTCTCTCACAGTCTAGTAGGCTAGAAGTCCAAATTCAGGGCATCAGCTCCAGGGGAAGGCTTTCTTTCTTTGTCAGCTCTGGAGGAAGGCCCTTGTCATCAATCTTCCCCTGGACTAGGAGCTTCTCGGAACAGGGACCCCCACGTCCACAGAATGCGCTCTTCTCCTGGCACCACTTTTTTGACTGTATGAGGTCCCCATACCCCTTTGCTCACTTCTCTCTTTTATATCTCAAAAGAGATTGGCTTAAGGCACAATCTAATCATATAGATTGAGTCCTGCCTCATTAACATAACTGCCACTACTCCCATCTCATGAACATCATAGAGGTAGGATTTATAACACATAAGAAAATCACATTAGATGACAAAATGGTGGGTATCATGGCCTAGTCAAATTGATACACATATTTTGGGGGGACACAATTCAACCTATGACAGCTGTCTTCCAAATTTCTTGGCATAGATGAGTGAGCACTTTCAGTGTTGCACCCGTTTGTTGAAACTTCTCAGTTGGTACTCTCTCAATTCCTAGAGCCTTGTTTTTCTCCAGTGCCTTCCAGTGCAGCTTGGACCTATTCCTTCAGTACCATTGGTTCCTGATCGTATGCTACCTCCTGAAATGGTTGAACGCTGACCAATTCTTTATGATACAATGACTCTGTGTATTCCTTCCATCTTCTTTCGATGCTTCCTGTGTCATTTAATATTTTCCCTGTAGGATTCTTCAATATTGCAACTCGAGGCTTGAATTTTTTCTTCAGTTCTTTCAGTTTAAGAAATGCTGAGCATGTTCTTCCCTTTTGGTTTTCGGTCTCCAGGTCTTTGCACATTTCATTATAATACTTTACTTTGTCTTCTTGAGTCACCCTTTGAAATATTCTGTTCATCTCTTTTACTTGATTGTTTCTTCCTTTTGCTTTAGCTACTCTTTGTTCAAGAACAACTTTCAGAGTCTTTTCTGACATCCATTTTTGTCTTTTCTTTCTTTCCGGTCTTTTTAATGACTTCTTGCTTTCTTCAGGTATCATGTCCTTGATGTCATTCCACAACTCGTCTGGTCTTCAGTCATTAGTGTTCAATGCATCAGATCTATTCTTGAGATGGTTTTGAAAAAATTCAGGTGGAATATACTCAAAGTCATACTTGGGCTTCATGGGTTTGTTCTAATTTTCTTCAACTTTAACTTGAATTTGCATATGAGCAACTGATGATCTGTTCCACAGTCAGCCCCTGGTCTTGTTCTGACTGATGATATTGAGCTTTTCCATCATATCTTTGCATAGATGTCAGTTTGATTCACGTGTATTCCATCTGGTGAGGTCCATGTGTAGAGTCGACATTTATGTTGTTGAAACAAGGTATTTGCAATGAATAAGTCGTTGGTCTTGCAAAATTCTGTTATGTGATCTCTGGTGTTATTTCTATCACCAAGGCCATATTTTCCAACTATCAATCCTTCTTCTTTGTTTCCAACTTTCGCATTCCAATCACCAGTAATTATCAATGCATCCTGATTACATGTCCCATTAATTTCAGACTGCAGAAGCTGGTAAACATCTTCAATTTCTTCATCTTTGGCCTAAGAGGTTGGTGTATAAATTTGAATAATAGTCGTATTAACCGGTTTTCCTTGTAAGCATATGGATATGTATACATATGTGTATATATATGTGCTCCATAGGGTTTTCAATGGCTGATCATTCGGAAGTAGACTGTCAGGCCTTTCTTCCAAGGCACCTCTGAATGGACTCCAGCCTCTAACCTTTCGGTTAGCCTTTTGGTTAGAGGTGCCTTGCAAGAAAGTCCTGGTGATCTATTTCTGAAATACGAGCCATTGAAAACCCTATGGAGCACACTTCTACTCTGACACACACAAGGTCCCCAGGAGTTGGAGTCAACTTAACAGCAGCTGGTATGGTTTTATTTACACATGTACACACACATGAGTTATGATGAGCCATTTTTGGAGTTAAGTTCCTGCCTGAAATTCTATGAAAAGGATGACTAAGATATTGTCACAGCAACATAGACTTCGCCTCATGGACACCTTCCATTTTTCCTGCTGTGTGCTGATTCTCACTGGAAATCTTAATTGATAATTGTGCCCAGGAAGCACCCACTTCCCTTGGGGTGTTGAAGTTTGCCGCATGTGCTCACTGCTGAAGGGATAGTGAAGAGGGATGGATGGGCTGTGGTGGTACACAGACATGACGCAGGGTGCAAACACCGTCTCACTTGCTTCAAAGCCTGCCGTTTTGTTTCAGTCAACATCTGCCAGGTTGTTTAAACGAAGAGTAAACTATTTACTTTTTACCTTACTCAATCAAGAAGGACTGTAAGAAAGTTAGAACTGAAAGTTCATTACTCAAAAGTCACATAGATTAGTAAATAGTAAATGAATGTTTATATTTTCAAATGGTATTTTTTGTAAGCTTCCAGCATTTTCACTTTTGAAGTCATTAAAGCATAAAGCTGCACTAAGACTTTTTGGGGCACCCTGTGTGTTGAACTGAGTGTGGCCCCCAAAAGTCTATGTCTGTGTCCTGATCTCTGGAACCTGTGAACCTTATCTTATGTGGCATAAGATGTGATGAAGCTAAAGATCTTGGAGGGAGGGGCTTATTCTGGCTTACCTAGGTGGGCCTTAAATACAATTGTGTGTATCCTTACAAGAGAGAGGCAGGGTGGGGGGCTGTTGGACAGACACTCAGAGGAGAAGATGATGTGATGATAGACACAGAAACTGAAGTGATGGAACCATAAACCATGAAATCCAAGAAATGCCAACAGCCTCCAGAAGCTGGAAGAAGCAAGGAAGGATCCTCCCACCCCTGACCCCAGAGCCTCCAGAGGGAGCACGGCCCTACCAACATCTCGATTTTGGACTTCTATTTTCCAGAACTGTGAGTCAGTAAGTGTATTTTGTTTTAAGCCACCAAGTCTGGTCTCATTTGTTACAGCAGTGACAGAAGCTGATACACCCTTCACAGACCCTGAGGAAGGCCGTCCTCCCAGGTGGCCAAGTCGTTTCCTCCCCCTGTAGTGCTCCAGGCTCTCTGTGGAAAAACACAAATACTAGTGGCCATGGCCTGGTTCCATCCGTCGGAGGACACGTTAGCCTCCACACCGTTGGAGCCACCTGTGGAGCCTGAGTTCCACCATCTTCTTGCCACCTCCTCCAGTCCCAAGTCGCTCTTTTTACTTACTCAACAAACGTTTGTCAAGACCCAAGGCTCTCCCCTAGTTCCCAGTACAAGCACTGCGTCTGCTTTCACACTAACCTGGGAACATAAGGGCATTTATGGAGAAAGAGCTCCACCTGGTAACCCAGCCCACCAAGCAAGACACCTGAGAGACAATGGCGGGGGCCGCAGCGTCACCGACACCCCCGCCCTCCTTCATCCCAAGACGTGCGCACTCTGTGGTGTGTCATTGTCTGTAAGAGGAATTCCGTGAGGATTGTAGGGTGGGACTGGGAAAGATTGGGTGTTTCTCATTGTTTGTGCCAACAAATCACTTCAAATCTGCCATGAATGACCCCTTCTGACTTGACTGGAGCAGGAGTGGTTTAAGCATTTGAGTTGTGGTGGTGCAAACAGTTAACATGCTCAACTGCTATATGAAAGATTGGAGGTTCAAGTCACCCAGAGGTACCTCAGAAGAAAGTCTTGGTGATCTACTTCCAAAAAATCAGCCCCTGAAAACCCTACAGAGCACAGTTCCACTCTGACACACAGAGTGGCCATGAGTCAGAGTCACCTCGATGGCACAGGATTCGCTGGTTGTACTCTGTCCCAGTCCCTGGCAATCCCCTCCCACGCCGCCCACCTACCTTGATGCAATGGTAAGTGGCATTGGTGGCGCAGACCAGGTTCTTGTTGGGCCAGCCATCCAGGTCCGAGTCCTCCCCGCAGATGAGGCCGTCCCCGGCGTAGCCCGTCTGACACTCGCACTTGTACATGGGGTCACTGAAGTGGCCCAGGGAGATGCACTCGGCGTTCCTGTGGCAGTGGTGCGTCTTGTCTTTGCACGGGTTCTCGGGTTCACAAACCTGCGGGCGATGCGGCCGAGTGAGGCTTGGGTCGGCCCCCCAGACACGCATGCATGTGTCCCAGGTTCTGTCCACAGGGCTGCTGTGGGGACAACAGCCACTGGGCAGGAAGCAGGCAACTTGAATTGTGTTTTTCCCAGAAGTGGCTGGGGCACTCTTCAGTAACTTCACTGAGCAATGGAAACAGCGTTTCTGAGCCTGCAGAAGGCTCAAGTGTGGTACTGCTGATGCTTAAGGAAGTCATGTGGCCCTGAACTCTGTGAGGTCTTCACATTACAACTCACGTGGAGTTCACTGTGCTAACAGGATGACTGAGACAACGCTCTCTCAGCTTCCTGCCCTTCTCTCTCCCATCAACGCTGAATGGTGCTCTTGGTCTATCCCCACCCTCCTTCTTTCTGGAATCTTCTCTTATAAAGAAGAAGGAGGAGGAGGAAGAAGGAGGAGGAAAGAAGGGCCTTCAATGGCACGTGCAGATGGTCTGCCCCACTCACCTGCTTCTCTGTCCTGGCCGACTCCAGGCCAACCCCGAACGGCTGGCTTCCCTTGTAGCGTGGGGGACAGGGCAGGCAGTGGAAGCCGGGGTTGGTGTTCACACAGCGGGAAGCCTTGTTTGTTGTGAAGCAGATGTCCGTGATAACAGCACACTGTGGGGGACAAGCAGACGGTGGGCAGTGGGCCTCCGACGTCCGCGTAAAGCCCCCCACCACACCGTGGGCCGGGGGGGCGCTCACCTCATCTAAGTCTTCGCAGTGGGTGCCATTGCCCAGGAAGCCGACCGGACAGGGCCCACAGGACCAGGAGCCGTCGGGGAAGCTGCTGCACTCCGCTCCCGGGAAGCAGGGGTTGGACAGACACCCGTCTGTGGGGGCAGGGCGGAGTCAGTGACCAGGTCCAACATCACCCTGCTCTAACCAGACACGGGTGGAACTCGGAAAAACCGAAAGACTACTGGGCCTGGGGAAGTGCTTCATGTTCATACTGCCAAATGCCTGCAATGTGATCATCATAAAACTGTGCGAGTTAGGAATTCTCCAATAGGATAATACTGGGCCACCATCAAAGATGTCATCTCTACGAAGATATTGTCAAGTGGTCAAAGTGTCGTAGATCACAACAGAGCATAGACCTCGAGATCGCTAGTCTACACACTAGTCAATGTTGTGGTCATGGTGTGTGTGTTCCCATGAAACCACTGAAGTCACATCACAGGAATGATAAGCCTGACAAACACCTGAATGTCACTGACCCGGACATTTGAAGAATGGGGGAATGGAAAGTGTTCTAACACTTATATTTACCACAAGAAAAATGTAATGAGACATGTTAATAATGCAGATGATTTTTTTAAATAAAAGCTCTCTTTGCATAGTGAGAATACAATTTTCAATTTTTACTGTTTTCTAGCTATTTTCCATAATTTTTGCACTTTTAACCAGAATGAAAATCCAATGATTTTTCAGAGGCCTGTGGGCAGAACGCCCTGGCACCATGGACAGACCAAGGCCCACTTCACGTGCAGAAGGCTCACTGGCCCCACCAACATGCCCCATGTCCACCACCAACACACTGCATGTTCACCACCAACACACCTTCAGACCCCACCAACACACCCCATGTCGACCACCAACACACCCTCGGACCCCACAGACACGCCCCGTGTCCACCACCAACACACCCTCGGACCCCACCGACACGCCCCGTGTCCACCACCAACACACCCCATGTCCACCACCAACACGCCCCATGTCCACCACCAACACGCCCCATGTCCACCGCCAACACATCCCGTGTCCACCTAACGATGGGGCAGACCAAAGCCCAGCATGCAGGAGGCCTGAAGACCCCACCGACACACCCCCATCCACCACCAACATGGCTGTGCCTACCACTGACACACCCGTATCCACCAACATGGCCCTGTCTACCACCAACACACCTGCATTCACCACCAACATGCCACATTCACTGACACACTCCTGTCCACTATTGACATGCCCTCGTCCACTCCTGACACACCCATGTCCACCCGGACATGCCCTCGTCCGCCCACCAACCCGCCCTCGTCCGCGCACCGACACGCCCTCATCCACCCGCCGACACACCCTCATCTACCCTGACATGCCTTCATCTGCCCCGACACACCCTCATCCACCCACCGACACGCCCTTGTCCACCCACCGACAGGGCAGCTCTTCCGGTTGCACATGTGCTGCTCCTTGGTGTCGCCGGCACAGGCCTTCCCTCCGTGCTGGGGCTCTGGGCTGTTGCAGACTCTCGTGCGCTCTCGGATGCCGCCGGCACATGTGACCGTGCAGGCTGACCACGGGGACCAGGGGCTCCACCGGCCATCAACTGCGGGGACAGCACACAAAGGGGAGAACACAGAGAAGGTCAGGGGCAGGAAACACCACTTCACATTGCCGCGGTGGGCAAGGGGAACTTGGCTTTCCACACACACTGCAGAAGAAACTGATCTCTTTTGGTCGGGACTCTGGATGGTGAAAATGGTTAATGTGCTCAGCTGCTAACCGAACGGTTGGAGGTTCAATTCTACCCAGAGGCACCTCAGAAGAAAGTCCTGGTGATCTACTTCTGAAAAATCAGCCACTGAAAACCCTATGAAACACCGTTCTGCTCTGATACACGTGGAGTCTCCATGAGTCAGAATTGACTCTACGGCTGCTGGTCTGGACGGTCAAACCGTTCACTCACTCAGCCGCTAACTAAGAGGTTAGAGGTTCGAGTCTACCCAGGCATCTCAGAAGAAAGGACTGGTGATCTACTTCTGAAAATCCAGTCGCTGAAAACCCTGCAGAGCACAGTTCTACTCGGACACACACGGGGTGCCCAGGAGTCAGAGTTGAGCCCATGATAACCGCCTTTTGGTTATTCCTCCCTAGCTTACACCTGATGCTTTCAGCCCCGTGGATAGTCAGCCACATCTTTGGGATTCCACAGTTCCTCAGCTGGGGTCCTTGCCTTCCCCTCCACACGTCACCTTCTTCTGTGTTCCCTATGCTAACTAACCACTCCTCTGTCCGCCAAGCTGCCCCGGCCTGACACTGGGCAGTCCTCCCGACCAGAACAGACAGCCCTCTAGAAACTCCCAGCTCTAGTTGCCGTAGAGCCAGTTCTGACTTATGGCGACGCCCCGTGTCTCTTCCCGATTATAGGATTTGGGAGCGATGAACACGACGAAGACTCAGAGGGTTTTACTCGTAGGCCTGGGAATAAACTTCACACCAACTTTTATATCTCAACTCTCAGAACTGTTTACAAAGGGCCACAAGTAACTGGTGCACCTCTGTAACATAGAAGTTGTCTTCATTTCTGAGAAGTTGTTTAAACCTGAATTTTGTTTTAAATGGTTGTCATTAGTCTTTTGTACAAAGGAGCAACTCAGTAATGGAAGTCACCCCTATGTCCCCCTTTTTCCTGAGTGTTAACTGTCATGAACTGGGCTTCCTTAGAGAAGGTTCTGCATGTTTTTAGCATCTACGTTTTCTGTAAACTCCAGCTGGCTTGGCCGAGACGCTGAGCGGATGAGCCGTTTTCAGGAGACACTTTGTCCTGTGCCTTCTACTGTTCGCCTGGTCCAAAGCTACCACCCTAACTGCCTCCAAGCTCTGGCCTGTCTGTCCTTCCCCTATAGATCAGAGTCTGTAGGACAGACTCAGAGCTGTTCATCAAGGTCACACTGAGCCCAAGCGAGCAGCATCCACCCCTGAAGGCTCCTCTCCTACACTGGCCCTGCCAGGGGACTGTAGAGCACCTTACTTGCCTCTGGAACTAGGCTGGGCTGCCATCCCAGGACGCTGGATGCACCCTGTTGTGCCTACGTTGTCACCAAGTGCTCTCCTATGCCACTGTCCCCAGCAAGCACAGTTACGAGACCCCCGCACACTTACTGGGGCAGGGGGGACCCTGGCACATCTTCGTCTCCCGGCCGCTCCCCTTGCAGCTCTTGCCGCCCATCTGCGGGACCGGGGAGTTGCAGAGCCGGATGCGTGTGATGTTGCCGATCCCACAGGTGGTGGAGCAGGAGGACCAGGGGGACCAGTGGCTCCAGCCGCCATTTTGCCGGACTGCATGTGAAGAACACAGCACAAGGAGATCAATACACAGATAAGCTAAGAGGGGCTGGCCCCAGACCACATGTTGGCTTTATTGCTGATTCGTCATATCTAGAAAGGACGGGGACAGAGAGAACTTCATCTGGCAGGAACCCCTCAACAGAACAGAGCGGCACGTGCACTGCCTACCGGAACTGCAGAATGCATTTATGCCCTTACAAAGTCAGGTGGCTCAAAACATGCCTTTCTTCCTCCACCATGCAGGCTTTGGGGCTGAGGACCAAGAGTGACTGGGAGTGGGGCCCTGATGCTGTGGATGTCACTCTGACCATGGGCAGTGCTCCCCGACACTTACTGTGGTCATCTCACTGACCATGGGCAGTGTTCCCCGACACTTACTGCGGTTGTCACACTTGCCCAGGCTGCACAGCCTGGTCTGGATGGAGGGCCCCAGGCAGGTGTTGCTGGTGACATCACACGACCTTCCTCTCTGCTGGGTCCCAGAGCCGCAGGTAACAGAGCATTCAGTCCACTCTGCCCAAGGAGACCAGCCCTCGTCGCTGTCCGTGGCTGTGGTCAGAGGAAGCATAATGGACCTGGTCACACTATCTACATTGTGGACTATGTCACCAAACAAAACGGATAAATGGCACAGCAGCTCCTGAGCTTGGAGCTCGTGCAACTCAGGAGTCGGGACGTGCAACTCACTGATGGAGGGAGGAAGACCCCCGAGGGAGCCTAAGTGGGTCCCTAGCCAAGCAAGCCCAGGGCCACTAAAAGTCCGTTACATCTCAGGGGCTCCACAGCTGCCTTCCCAGAACAAAACAGGGACGGACAGTGGGCCGAGCGGAGGTCTCTGTCTCCGTGACTGACGTGTGATGAGCACTATGCGACCAGGAATGGTGGAGTCTGTGTTCTGAGGGTTATGGGGTGTCTAGTCCATCTCTGTCCAGGGAAGTTGTTTCATACATTTTTTAAAATATTTTACGAAAGAGCGCACTGAACCATGTTTACGTGAAGTTTTATTAAAATCATAAAGATTTAATTTATTTCCATTTTAATCTTTCTTGCTTATTTACATGTAATGAACCCCGTCAATTACTGGTTGAAATATAGGAGACCAAACTCAGCTCTAAATAATTTAAATGGTGACCGGTTAAATAAAAAAGCAACTTCGTACAAAGAAATTATTCACAGTTCATTAAATTCCTTAAAGGATGGAAATGACAGAGATTTACTCCAAGAGACACTTCCAGTAAATAGTAAAAAACGTTGTTTATCCTACTATCTTATTTAGGTAGCAAGGAACCCTCTATACATCTATGAACGTTCTGTGATTAAATGTTCCAGAAAGCAGGACAAAAAGGAGAATGGTCAAGGAGGTGTTTTTCTGTGATGCTCTCAATAACATAAATGTTTCTCCCTCTAATCTGAATGTGAGCCCTCCAGTTGTAAGAATCATATTTTTAGCCTAGCCAAGGGACAATCAGTTTTATGACTGTTTAACACATAACGTACGTCAGGCACTTCCACAGACACTGTATTGTTTATTTTAATCACGAAACCAACACTGTAAAGAGGACAGCCATCCTGCACATTCCAAATGATGAAACTGAACCTAAGAAAAATTATATTTTGCTTGAAATCATGGAGCGATGAAGCCTGAGCTCTGATTCCATCTGTCCCCTGTCCACACCCAGAGCTGAGCACGCCTGTCTGGGGCCACCAGCAAAAGCATGATGGCTTCTCCAGCCCTGTGCCCCCACCAGGCCCAGCAACTAAAGTGGGTTTCCGGGCCTTGGCCTGTACAGGAATGGCAGACGCACAAAGAGTGGAAGAAGGCAGGAGGGCAGGAGGCGCTGAGACAAAGCTTCCAAATACAGTCAAGCCTTGTGTCATCAGTCTCAAAGCTTTCAGATCAGGTTAGAAGATGAAAAAGGGCGGCATGAAGCAGGCAATGTGAGAGCAAATATACTCAGAAACAACAAATTCAACTCAATTCTCCTGGAGGACACAAGAAAAGGAGATCTACTTCCAAAACATCAGCCATTGAAAACCCTATGGAGCACGGTTCTATTCTGACACACGTGGAGGAGCCATGAGTCAGAGTCGACTCCCCGGCACCTGGATTTTCGAAGTCTCAGTCTTCTTTGTACATAAGGTCTCGGGCACTTCGTAGCCACCCTGGGGCTCAGTGCCTCGTCTGTAAAGTGAAATGAGTTGAACTTCTAGGATGTACAAACGGCTTCCTGGCATGAGTCAGTAATGGGAGTGATGAGCTCAGGATCGATTGTCCTTCTGTGTCTTTCTCATCTATTTGTACCCCTGGGTCTAGGTTTCACCCTTCTCTGCGCACATAAGTACCTGAATACAACAAATAAAAGAAATCACTGAGACACGCAGGCTCCTACTAGCGCTCCTGGCACTACTCACGGTGGAAGCAGGAAGGGCAGCATTCACCTTCCAGGAAGGATGGGTTCGCACACGTCACTGGTGGGCACGTGATTTGATGGCAAACAGTTTTAAATTTCTACAAGGAAACAAAGGTATTTATATAGTACTTCTTAAAAAAAAATTGTGTGTGAAAGATTGGGACGAGGGCTGGCCTGAGAAGGGCCAACAGCACGGCTACAACGTTTTCTATTACCACAGATCCTACATGTTATAAAGAGAAGAGGCTGGAAAATAGTCAGTCCTTTCTTGCATTAATGCTCAGAGCTCAATACAAACGGGGACGCTCAAGACAGCTCTCTGTCCCCACTGTCTTCCTTTCTCCAATCACGGGAGCTGAGATGACAAAACAAAGACCGCCCACTCTCTTGGCATAGGAGAGGATAAATGGGCCGTGTAAACCTGTATTGTTTGATGTGAAGGCCATCATCTATGGGAATTGAACACCATTAAATAAAGAGAAGGAACGAAATCATCTCTCTAAAATATTTAATAGTCACTTGCACCTTCCCAAATGTTTCTGCTGAACCTCCATGCCCAACAGAAACGAGTGGAATTAAACGCAGACAGAAACACGTGGAGTCCCACACCAGCTCTGTCTTCAGCCACCTGTGTGACTTTGGACACGTCACTGCACCCTCGCGACTCTGGTTTCTTCGTGTGCAAAACAAAGAGGTCAGCTTAAGTCTTTGTCTCCATGGTTCCTGCCACGTCTATGACTCTTACGTCTAAACACATCTTACACGTAGCTATTGAATGCCGCGGGGCCCTGGTGGCACAGTGGTTAAGTGTTTGGCAGCTAACCAAAAGGTCAGTAGTTCAAATCCACCAACCACTCCTTGGAAACCCTATGGGGCAGTTCTATTCTGACCCACCGGGTCGCTGTGCGTTGGAACTGACTCAACAGCAGCGTGCACTGAATGTTGCTAGTGCGCGGGCAGTTCAGAGGCGCTGGGAGTTAAAGGCGGTACGGAAGGACGGAGCGTGCGCACGTCTCCCTGCGCGCGAGAGAAGGGCGTCTGGGGCCTCACCTTGCACGTGCAGGTGGTGCAGCTGTCCACCACCCAGGTCTCGTTGTCCGCAAAGAACCTGCCATCCTGCCAGCACGCGGTCACATTCCTGGTCTTAGGGGGGCCACCGACAAGCTCCCAGAGGAACTGGTTGTCATTCGACTGGAAAATTAAGTTAAATAATTTAAGTACAGACAGGAACACACTACACTCAGTCGTCGCACTCATGGGTGAGAAAGACGGTTCCTCCTCACGGAGCAACAGCAGCCCAGAATCCACCGGTGATGTGGTTTCTACTGTCTTCATGGATGCGGGAGAGGCCGATGATGGCAGACTAAATCAAATCTATGCAAAATCATGTGCTAACTGACCACAAACAGACTGTCTCCACCGTTGCTGTGGCTTGTCCCCTGCTGTCCACTCTTCCTAAGTGACTAATTTGCATCTGTTCTTAGACGCTGCTGCCTTCCCGTGTTCCTTCAGTGGGTCCCTACTGAGGCCAGGGCTACCCCAGAGGGCCGCCGCTGCCACAGTGCAGGACTGCAGTGGGAGAGGGGAGGGGTCAACTGGTCGACTGCAGCTGAGAACTAAGGTCCAGCCCATGCACTTCACTCATTTTCTCTCTTATTCACTAAATATGACAGGCACAGTCTGACAATACAATTTAAAAAAATGACAAAAAGATGTAATTCTTGCTCTCCTAGGGGTTACAGACTAGGGAGAAAGATAAATAAATAAATGAAAATTACACCGAATGTCCCTAAAAATGTATGTGTTTACCTGCCTTGTTCTGAGCCTGCCCCTCAGGAGAGTGTCACACGGGTGTCTTTTCCCTAAGTAGTGATTTCTAACTTGGGGTGACAAGCCCTTTGAAAATCTGGTGACAGATATGGGCCCCCACTTGCAAAAACACACAGACGTCCACCACCCTGATTTTTTGTGCAATTTCGGAGAGTTCACAAATTTCCTGAGTCTCCGGCCACCAAGTTAAACAATCTTGTGCTAAAAGCTCTCATCAGTTTGAAAATGAGAAATGTTTGATCATCATAAGCACAGTTTCGGCTAGGGTGAGCAGGAGTTGTTTATTTTCTCCTGCTGAAGGCCCTGGGCTAGTTGGCCACCTCCCTTCTCAGCACCTGACATTTCCTTCCTTCTCCACACCTAGCCTTCCTCCCTTCTCGGGCATCTGCCTCATTTTCCCTTCTCCTCACTTGCCCTTCCTCCCTCCTGGACACCTACCACTTTCTTCAGGTTCTCGTGCAGCTGGTTCACGATCACGTGCAGCCCCGAGAGCTCGTTGATCATGTGGCCCAGCTCTTCACAGGAGCGCTCACACACTTCTGGCTTCTTCTCCGAGCTCTGGCCCACGTACTCTGTTGTGATGTGTGGGCTCAGGTGGAGGGTCTCCGTGTTCTCACTGATGGCGTTGACCTCCACTGGGGGGAAGCACACCAAAAGGGTGAGGGGGATCAGCCGGAGCCCCACTGAGAGAGCTTGACCCTAGAACTATACATAAGTAACTACCCAGAAGTGAGGTGGAGCCCCTATTTGGTTTTGGAACAGCTTAATGTTAAGTTGGAGTCCCCGGGTGGCGCAAATGGTTAAGTGCTCTATTACTAGCTGAAAGGCTGTTTGAACTCACCCAGAGTGTCTCGGAAAACAGGTATGGCGATCTGCTTCCAAAAAATCAACCATTGAAAACCCTATGGAATACAGTTCTACTGTGACACATACAGGGTCATCATGAGTCAGAATCAACTCAAGGGCAACTAACAACAACAATAATGCTAAACGACACCCAAGAACAGCAACTCTTTCAAATTATGACCCAAGCTTTGGAAAAAAAAAAAAAAGGTGCCTGCCCCATTCCAAAACTATACTGATTAAGCATGTAAAAATAGGACATTGGCAGAGCAAGGCTTTATCTTAGGAACAGGAAATATAAAGAATACTACACTGCCAGAAGGATGAACAAATCAATCTTAGAAGAAATACAACCATAACGCTCCTTAGAAATGAGGATAGCCGGACTTCTGCTCACTTACATTGAGCATGTCACTGGGAAAGAAGAATTGCTAGAAAAAGACATCCTGCTTGGTAAAGCAGACCAAACCCAAATCAAACCTGTTGCCATCGAGTTGATTCCAACTCATAGCAACCCTACAGGACAGAGTAGAACTGCCCCATAGGGTGTTCAAGGCTGTAATCTTTATGGGAGCAGACTGCCCCATCTTTCTCCCTCATAATGGATGGTGGGTTCCAACTAATCTTTCAGTTAGCAGCTGAATGCTTTAACCACTGTACCACCAGGGCTCCTTGGTAGAGCAGAGGGTCGCAAAAACAAGGAAAACCCTCTACAAGATGGACTGACATGGTAGCTACAACAGTGGACTCAAACATACTAACAATCGTGACGATGGCGCATGGATGGGTAATGTTTTGTTCTATTGTACATAAGGTCGCCTTGAGTCAGAACCACCTCAACAGCAATGAACAAAAACAACATACATTCACAAATTCACATGCTTAGGTTACGCGTGCATCATTGATCTTATTCAAATTGAAGTAGAGATAGCAATCTCGTTTTTCTGATAATTTCTCATTTTTGGTCCACACCCTAAATCTTTTCTTCAACCACTGATTCTTCACATTTTCTGATGACTTGTTTTAACTTTTCATAGCTCTCTTATCCATTCCCTAAACCCCGTTCTTAGGGCTCCTTGTTCCGCCTTAAAGAAAATTTCATTGTCTTCATGCTCAAATAAATAACTTCCTCAAAACATCACCCTCATTTCCCTGATGGTCATACCATTTCTCTGCTAGAATTCAGTGTCAGTCTGCTACAGTGAACAGTAGGCGCCCACAGGAGCCTGAACCCGAGGAGTCTGCCCTTCACTGCCCAGATGTGGTAGCCAACCATCTGAAGTCTCAGTGTGTGGGACACGTGTGATCACGGCATATAATTCATGCGCTTGATTCTAGGCAAGTACAGAAGCAGAAGTCATCAGCGGGCCAAGCTGGGCCTGGTTAGCGGTATCAGGGCCAAAGACTCCCAGCAGGAGCTTGACTCGCTTACTCACAATCCAGCTCCTTCAGACATTCCATTATTGAGTTATTACTGTTAACTGTCATAATTCTGTCAGGCAGTTGTTATTAAGTTTTCATTACTTGGTTATAAGCCTTTGTTGAAACTCACATTAAGCTTGGAAAGTTCCCCTCAGATTTTTATGTCTATAACTATATACCAAACCAAACCTGTTGCCATTCAGTCAATTCCAACTTACACCGACCCCAGGGGACAGAGCAGAACTTCCCCATAGACTTTCCAAGGAGAAACTGGTGGATTTGAACTGCCGACTTTTTGGTTAACAGCCATAACTCTTAACCACTGCAACACCAAGGCTCCCTATGAAAATATGTTGTTGTTGTTAGGTGCCATCGAGCCAGTACCAACTCATCGCAACAGTACGTACAATAGAACGGAACATTACCCAGTCCTGCGCCATCCTCACGATTGTTGTTATGCTTGAGCCCATTATTGTAGCCACTGTGTCAGTCCATCTTGTTGAGGATCTTCCTCTCCTCTGCTGACCCTCCACTTTACCAAGCATGATGTCCTTCTCCAGGAACCGATCCTTCCTGATAACATGTCTGAAGTACATGAAACGTAACGTCACCATCCTTGCTTCTAAGGAGCGTAGTGACTGTATTTCTTCCAAGACAAATTTGTTTGTCCTTTTGGCAGTCCATGGTATATTCAATATTCTTCAAGAACATCACAATTCAAAGGCATCAATTCTTCTTCAGTCTTCCTTATGCATTGTCCAGCTTTTGCATGCATATGAGAAGATTAAAAACATCATGGCTTAGATCAGGCACACCTTAGTCTTCAAGGTGACATATTTGCTTTTGAACACTTGAAAGAGGTCTTCTGCAGCAGATTTGCTCAATGCAATGAGTCTTTTGATCTCTTGACTGCTGCTTCCATGGGTGTTGATTGTGGATGTGAGTAAAATGAAATCCTTGACAACTTCAATCTTTTCTCCGTTTATCATGATGTTGCTTATTGGCTCAGTTGTTAAGATTTTCGTTTTCTTTAAGTTGAGGTGTAATCCCTACTGAAGGCTGTGGTCTTTGATCTTCATCAGTAAGTGCTTCAAGTCCTCTTCACTTTCAACAAGCAAGGTTGTGTCATCTGCATAACCCAGGTCGTTAATGAGTCTTCCTCCAATTCTGATGCCCCATTCTTCTATATATAGTCCAGCTCCTTGGATTATTCGCTCAGTATACAGATTATTGAATAAGTATGGTGAAAGGATACAACCCTGACACACACCTTTCCTGGCTTTAAAACACGCAGTATCTCCTTGTTCTGTCTGTACAACTGCCTCTTGATCTGTGTACAGGTTCCTCATGAGCCCAATTAAGCATTCTGGGATTCCCATTCTTCTCAATATTATCCGTAATTTGTTGATTCACACAGTCAAATGCTTTTGCATAATCAATAAAACACAGGTACACATCTTTCTGGTATTCTCTACTTTCAGCCAACGTCCATCTGACATCAGCAATGATATCCCTGGTTCCAAATCCTCTTCTGAATCCTGCTTGAATTTCTGGCAGTTCCCTGTCAATGTACTGTTGCAGCCACTTTCGAATGATCTTCAGCAAAATTTTACTTGCACGTAATATTAATGATATTGTTTGATAATTTCCGCATTCGGTTGGATCACCTTTCCTTGGAATAGGCATAAATATGGATCTCTTCCAGTCCGTTGGCGAGGTAGCTGTCTTCCAAATTTCTTGGCATAGATGAGTGAGTACCTCCAGTTCTGCATCCATTTGTTGAAACATCTCAGTTGATATTCCATCAATTCCCGGAGCCTTGTTTTTCGCCAATGTCTTCAGTACAGCTTGGACTTCTTCCTTTAGCACCATCGGTTCCTGATCATATGCTACCTCATGAAATGGCTGAATGTTGACCAATTCTTTTTGTTATAGTGACTCTGTATATTCCTTCCATCTTCTTTTGTTGCTTCCCGAGTCGTTTAGTATTTTCCCCATAGAATCCTTCACTATCACAACTCGAGGCTTGAATTTTTTCTTCAGTTCTTTCAGCTTGAGAAATGCTGAGTGTCTTCTCCCTTTTGGTTTTCTAACTCCAGGTCTTTGCACATGTCATAATATTTTACTTTGTCTTCTCAGCTGCCCTTTGAAATCTTCTGTTCAGCTCTTTGACTTCATCATTTCTTCCATTTGCTTTAGCTACTCGACATTCAAGGGCAAGTTTCAGAGTCTCTTCTGACATTCAGTTTGGTCTTTTCTTTCTTTCCTGTCTTTTTGATGACCTCTTGCTTTCTTCAAGTATGATGTCCTTGGTATCATTCCGCAACCCATCTGGTCTTCGGTCATTAGTGTTCAATACGTCAAACCTATTCCTGAGACGGTTTCTAAATTCAGGTGGAATATACTCAAGATTGTACTTTGGATCTCATAGACTTGTTCTAATTTTCTTCAGCTTCAACTTGAACTTGCATAGGAGCAATTGATGGTCTGTTCCACAGTCAGCCCCTGGCCTTGTTCTGACTGATGATATTGAGCTTTTCCATTGTCACTTTCCACAGATGTAGTCGATTTGATTCCCATGTATTCCACTTGGCTAGGTCCATGTGGATAGTCGCCATTTATGTTGTTGAAAAAAGGTATTTGCAATGAATAAGTTGTTGGTCTTACAAAATTCTATCATGCAATTTATGGCATCATTTCTATCACCGAGACCATATTTTCCATCTACCAATCCTTCTGTTTCCAACTTTTGCATTCCAGTCACCAGTAATTATCAATGCATCTTGATTGCATGTTCGATTAATTTCAGACTGCAGAAGTTGGTAAAAATCTTCAATTTCTTCATCTTTGGTCTTAGTGGTTGGTGTGTAAATTCGAATAATAGTCATATTAACTGGTCTTCCTTGTAGGCATATGAATATTATCCCATCACTGACAGCACTGTACTTTAGGATAGATCTTGAAATGCTCTTTTTGATGATGAATGCAACATCATTCCTCTCCAAGTTGTCGTTCCTGGTATAGTAGACCATATGATTGTCTGATTCAAAATGGCCAACACCAGCCCATTTCAGCTCACTAATGCCCAGGATATTGATGTTTATGTGTTCCATTTCATTTTCGATGATTTCCAATTTTCCTAGATTCATAGTTTGTACATTACACTTTCCGATTATTAATGGATGTTTGCAGCTTCTTCTTCTCAATTTGAGTCATGCCACATCAGCAAATGAAGGTCCTGAAAGTTTGACTCCATCCACTTCGTTAAGGTCGACTCTACTTTGAGGAGGCAGCTGTCTCCCAGTCATCTTTTGAGTGCCTTCCAACCTAAGAGGCTCATCTTCCAGCACTATACCAGACAATGTTCTGCTGCTATTCATAAGGTTTCCACTGGCTAATTCTTTTAGATGTAGACCGCTGGGTCCTTCTTCCTAGTCTGTCTTAGTCTGGAAGCTCAGCTGAAAACTGTCTGCCATGGGTAACCCTGCTGATATTTGAATACAGGTGGCATAGCTTCCAGCATCACAGCAACACACAAGCTCCCACAGTACGACAAACTGATAGAACCACATAAATAAATATATACGTGTGTGTGTGTGTGTGTGTGTGTGTGTGTGTGTGGATGGGTGGGTGGGTGAGTGGGTGTGCAAAGAAAGAGAGAGAAAGACAGATTATCTTAAGTGGATTCCACTCTCAGATCATTTCACTTCCACTGAGTAACAAAATCCTCAACACATCCAGACTATTCAATTTTCATTTCTTTTAAAAGCTAAGCAAAACAAAACAAAACAAAATAAAACAATATATCTCTTTGTTTGCCTCCCTGCTTCTGTCATGAGTTCGACTGACCTGGTCATAAAACTTTCCGACTAGACTGAATTTTCCCATGTTTCTGCCAGTATTCTCAGTAGTGAAATAATAATGCTTGGCACCATTCTCAAGGTTACTCCCTTTTTTTAACAAACAATAAAAAATGTTGTGTCATTACCAAGCACCAATTTGTGAAGAAGCTGTTTCTATAAGGCCAATTTTCTTTAAATCTGACATAACCAGTGAAGAATAAAAATTGGGGACTTTGTTCACAAAGATCTTAGAAACAGAACTCTAATGGAGCCCTGACTGCACAGTGGTTAAGAGCTACTGCTGGTAACCAAAAGGTCAGCAGTTCGAATCTACCCGAGCCGTTCACTGGAAACCCTATGGGGCAGTTCTCCTCTGTCCTATAGAGTCACTGTGAGTAGGAATCAACTCAACAGCAACTAGTTTGTTTGTTTGGTTGGTTGGTTTAATGTTCCAGGTGCTTCAAGTAGAAGACACACTCATGGTTAATTATTACACATTGTTAGACAGATAAGGAAAAGGCTAGCAAAAACAAGTATATAAACATATACTAATTTTGTATCTTGAGATAAAAGATTTAGATTTCTGTGCATATCTGCTCATCAATAAGAGCTTCTGGTAAATTTAAAGTGTTGCTTTTACTAGTTCCAAGCACATTATTGACTTGTAATTTTGAGTCTAAAGAATATCTATTCAAGGAAGTTACATTTATTAGAATGTATGCTGTTAAAAACAGCAAACAACTGTTTACGTAAAGTTGTAATTATTTTTGTCATAGTAGGTTAATTTTACCCACTATATACAGCCATGCATCACATAACATCCATTCAGGCGACATCCGACTGAATTTGCGTCCGCGGTCCCATAAGGTTATACCAGAGTTCAGAAATCCCAATCAGAGAAGAACTGAACGTAGTGGGTTTAAGCACGTCATACTCAACAATCATGACGATCCTCAAAAACAAAGAAAAAATCTCCCAGCTGTTAAAGGATCAGCCCCACTGAAAGCTACAAAGCTAAGGAAAATGTGAGAGGGACTTACTTCAGATATGGAGAAATTTCTGATGACGTGGATTGAGTACCAAACACAAAAGCGAATCCCTCTCAGCACATTGACAACCACTGTTAAGGCGCGAAGCTTGTTCGAGATGCTTAAAGAAAATGCAGGACCAGGCTACAAAACTGAGCTTAGTGCCAGCTCTGGGTGGTTCGAGCACGTCAAACAACGTTTTTCGACGCATAATGTGAAAGTGAGTGGTGAGTCTGTGAGTGCTGATGCAAAGGCGGCAGAAGAATTTGTGGAAACCTTAGATAAACTAATTGTAGAGGGAGGTTATTTGCCCCAGCAAATTTTTAATATGAACGAAACCTCCTTATTCTGGAAGCGAATGACTGAAAGAAACTTCATGCATAATATGGTGTTCGCATAACGTCCAAATCACATAAGGTCCTACTTCACAGAACGTATTGTGGGCGTTAAACGACACATGACTGTGTATATCCATACATAGAAAGAGAGAGAAATTATCTTTGTGGTAACTGGCTAATGTTGCCCTCAATGATCTCGCTCCAATGTAACTCCAAACCAGTTGCTGTCCAATCACTTCTGACTCATGGCAACCCTACATGTGTCAGACCCACATGTGTCAGAGTAGAACTGTGCTCTGTAGCGTTTTCAATGGCTGATTTTCTTCCAAGCCTCCTCTGGATGGACTCCCACCTTCCACCTTCCAGTTATCAGCCAAGTGTGTCCACTGTTAGCACCAGCCAGGGCCTCCCAGCGTAACTCAGCCCGCATCAAATCACGGTATAGGGATTTTTGTGATTAGGAACATTGCTAAGGGTATATTTCTCTTCATAAAACTATATTTGTATAAATATGTATAATGTACCTAAAAAGATACTCTAACAGATTGAAAAAAAAAATCACAGCAACAAAAAGTGGCCAGAAGAACAAGAACCCCTCAGTATGCCCCTGAGCACATGGTACTCAAGGAAGATCATTCGTATTTGAGTTCTCAGTAGCTCTCTAGATGACAGGCAAAACCAGGGTTCATTAGGGTTAAGGTCAGAGTTAGGATTAGGACAAGGGTTAGGGCAACTTCCATACCCCCTCTGTTGGAGGTATAATGTCTCTCTCCTTTGTTCCATCACAAGGCACCTAAGTGCAGACCTAACCAGAGCCGACACAGGCACTTCTGAAGCTCGGCTTCTGCACCTGGACACAGACGGCCTGCCCCAGTCCCAGGATGCACAGGCTGTGCTCATCCTTTCCTCTGCTTTTCTGGTGAACTACAGGGTTACTATCTGATGTCAGTTCATGTCTTTGCCTTTCAGAACGTTCTGCATTTTTAGTGACTGCACCCAAAAAAGGGCAATGACTCAGTTCAAACGGCCTGCCAGTGGTGTTTTACAGGATCTGGAAGATGGGTATGAGAGGTGGGCCTGAGCCCCAGAAGCTGTTGCCAGTCAGGAGTCTGGAATTGGGAATGTGTGCAACGAGGTGCTAACAATGCCCTTCATCTCAACAGTCCAGCCCAGGAACATGGTGTTAACTCCTTTTACCCCCTTCTACCTTGGCTGACCAATAGACCTAAAGGTACACACCCTACACTAAAGATACGCGAGTCTTTAAACTCAGTCAGCGGTTCATGACAGAGCTGATGCCAAGGCGTACTGGAGGGGTACCTTGCTTGGTGCACAGGAAACGCACAAACTCGGGGTCCCAATGAGGCTGAGGTAGGGTCCCAATGAGGCTGAGGTAGGGGCCCCACCTGGAAGTGGACGGCTGGACCCCATAGCTGTAATTGTGAAGTCATCAGTCCTATGAATCCTTCACATGTTGATCCGTAAAAGAACACCTTATATTTGTCATCACTTAGTATTGAAATGAAGAAGTGGTCTTAATGAAAAATATCATACGACTGAAATCATGTACCAGGTAAGACCTCCACACATCTGTCGGTTGGTCACGCTGCGGTGGCTTGCATGTTGCTGTGATGCTGAAAGCTTCGCCACCAGTATTCCAAATATCATCAGGGCCACCCACGTGGACAGATTTCAGCCGAGCTTCCAGACTAAGACAGACTAGGAGAAAAGACCTAGAAACCTATTTCTGATAATTAGCCAATGAAAACCCTATGGATCACAACAGACTATTGCCCAATATAGTGCTGGAAGATGAGCTCCCGAGGTTGGAAGGGTCTCAAAACACATGGTGGATGCAGCGATGGATTTGAGCACAGCAGTGATCGTGAAGACAGTGCAGGACCAGCAGTGATTCTTCTATTGTGCATGGGGCCCCCATTAGTCAAAGGCGACTTGATGGCAACTAACAGTAAGCTGATAAGAGTTTTGCCTTGGAGTCTGTTGGACAAACCCAGGCTGGTATCCTAGCTTCACTGCCTATTAGGTAGTTAAACTTGACAACCAGCATAGCCTCTTGGGCCTTAGCTTCTTCTCTGTAAAACGAGGAGAACAAAAGTACCCATCTCATGAAGTTATTTTTGAAGAGCAAATGGTATATTTAAAAGGCCTGGCACAGTGACCTTCACAAATTAAAAGCTCAAGAAAAGGTTGGAAAATTATGGCTGGAAATATAATTCAAAATGGTAATTAACAGACAATTGAGATTATCTGTAGATGAATCAAGTAGCACAAATTTTTATAATTTGATTGTATCAACAACAATGAATAGTATAAGAACATTCCTTAAATTAAGCTTGACAAACTAGATTCACTTTATGCAGAGTATCTTCACATGTTAACAGACTAAGAGTTGCAGGTACAGGCCGTCCCTGGATGGCGAATGAGTTCCGTTTGTAAGTCTGTCTTTAAGCCAAATTTGTATATAAATCCGAACAGTTAGGTATGGTTCATATCTAACGTCAGTCAAATGTTTGTCTTAGTATATAGTCTATAGTGCATCTTTCTATGCATAAAAACATTAAAGAAACACTTCCAGATACACTAAAGCATCTTTAACATAATAATACAGTAATAATAATAATAATGTTTTGATGTGCGTCACAAAGCGGTGCCCATTTGTTATTACCTCAAATTTTTAATATAATAAGCTATATGGGGGCTGGTTCATAATTACAAGTTGTGTGTGAGTCGGACATTCATGACCCAAGGACTGCCTCTATTTCAAATCAATTTTAAATGCTAATGACTTGTATTGGCTTATAAAATGGAAAAAAAAAAAACTTGGGATTATTAAAATCTATCCAAAAGCAATTCTTCACACAGTTTATCATTTTCAGATGTCAACATGTCTGAGTTGATTAGGTAACTCATTCAAGGACAATGATGGTATTTATTAATAGTTTTACTTAAATTCCCATTAGCACTATTCACACACACACACACACACACATATACACACACACACATACATACACACATAAACACCACAGTAGAAAGCCAGTTCAAGACAGAGAATGGCAGACATTGTCCAAAACACACCTACCTTCCTGGCCTTGCTGACACCCTTTCTTGCTTAGAACATCTTCCACAGAATTTTCAAAAACTAAGTACATATTTTGAAGCAAACCCTGTAAAGATACATAAAGGGAGAAATGGAACAACAGATAAACTTTCAACTTTTGATGCCAAGCTCAATGACAATACAAAAACACAAAATGTAATCTTAAACCCATGACAATTTTTTCTTCTATGTTTGTATACTCAGCAGGCTTAAAATCTTTTATAATTGATTATCCCCAAGACACGATATTTTTGAAACTTTGTTTTTCGGCATACCACAGAAAACGGGAGTTTAATGTAAGAAATGGACGAACTAGAAGAAGCCAGTGTTCTACAGAGAAGAGGAGGGCGGCCCTAAGCGTGATGCGAGAAGTCTTCATCCGAAGGTGTTCCTGTAACATTCCAGGCTGGCCTTTCCCTACAGTGGATGCTGGCGATCACAGTGTTCCTGCATTTGGCTCAAGGCCTCAGAAGTGGCCCCTGGCCCAGCCTCAGTCCCTGTGGGAGTACAGGCAACAGGTCTACCAGAGCCTCCCCACGCGTGAGTGGTCAATTTTGTTTATCACAGGAACAGCCAACACACTGAGCCACGTGGGGTTTCTTGATGACCACGGGAGATTCATTCAATAACAGGTTAAGCACTTCTAGGTCTTTTACTCAAACAACCAAGTTTTAAACACATATTCACTTCCAAAGAACGCACGCACATCTACAAGAGAGAACTGTGACGACCTTCCGTTGTAGGTCCCAAACACAGGGATTTAGGAAGATCCTCTTCTCAAAAATGTTTTAACCAAAATGAACATGGAACCATCCCCCATAAGTAAATAGCCCTCTCCTTAGATATGAACAATTGTTGATTTGCTCTCATATGTTTTCAATACAAAAACAGCAATTCGTGAATTGTTCCAGCTGCAGTAAAATGAACCCGGGGTTACCAGAAACATTTGGATGAGATTCGCTCCTTGGCCATCAAACCAGCGCCCGCTATGGAAATCAACGGTCATTGGTGCAAGTAGAAATGTGGACGTGGTGTCGACTTGCTCTGTTTACTCCCGGCTCGGTAACAGGAGTGTCCACTAGTGTATGTGGGTGTAAGTGTGAGTGTGTGTGCTAGTGTGTCAGTATGTGTGGGTGTGAGTGTGAGTATGTGTAAGTGCATCTGAGTGAATGTGTGTCTGTGAGTGTGTGTGTAAGCATGTAAGTGTGTGTGTGTCCTTGTGTGTGATGT